AATCCAAGTTTTCCAGCTCCTCGCATAGTTCTCAGCGAAACCGTACGTTTTACGACCCATAAAGCTCGCGAGCTTTTCTCGTGTCGTCGCTGATACTCGATACGGGTCAATGGTGTAGGCCTAGCCAAGCGATCTCAGTGGACAGCTTGACTTTTTGAAATCGGTGTCTTAAACCTGACAACGATCTGATCCTCACCTAGACTCAGGACTTAGATCACTTCTAATAACTCGGTCTAAATTCTAGAGCAAGTCTATCTGGAGCAAGACCAAGCAGAGACAAATGCAGTACCAGGTAGCCTAAACTGTGAATAGACAGGACTCATCCATAATTCTCTGAAATTGTTATTCCGAAAGGATGTCAAAGGTGCCTAGTTCAAAGAGGATCATTTTGCAAGCCAATCGTTCATTCGCACACAAATTGCCAGTCGTTGGAACGATTTGCAGCTAGGCCAATAATCTAGTGGAAATGCAGGCCATAAAGTGCCAGTTTGTAACGATTTCATCGAAGGAGAGACACGAGTTTCGCAGTTTGCCATTTAAGAAAGAAGCACCTGTAACGCGTTAGCCATGGGGCTCGCAGAGGCAGTGTAAACGAGGAGTAAATCACGCGCGTTGCATCCCGGGAAACACTAGACGGGTGACATTTTAGAGTCACCTTTTGCCAGCCTGTAATCCAGGATCGCCGATGTCTGCGCACGATCCGTGCCTTTATGATTTCCTCCCCCTTGTCCTGAGCCTTCTTTGCCTCTCTCCGGATCTATCCTTCGTTCTTTTCTTCTCTCGTCCTTTTTCATCGCCTCCTGTGATCACGCCGAGCCACCCGTGGCTTTTTATCGAAGCCAATGCTCGATGGGACATTTGCTGTGATTCCGTGACAGCAATTTTCATTGTCGGGGAGCCTCCTTGCCGGAGTTTATGGGGGTTCGGGGTTGGGATTGAATGGTGTAATGGAATGTCCACGTGGCTGGGTTCGTGTTGAGTTTAGAATGGCTGGAAATTGTTTCCGTTGTGGATCAGCCCTTTTCTCACGATCGTCCTTTGTCGATTTAATATAATTCTTTCCTTTTTCTTCATTTCAGACAATGAGTATTCTTTTTCATCGATTTTCTGGGAAGTTGGGTTAACTTGGCTATACTCGTTACAGCGAATAGACATTAAATTTCCTCTTTTCGATTATTTGACGTGATACGTGCAGTAATATTCGTGTGATAAAATTTCAATACCTATATGCGATAGATTTAGCAGTAACAATTACTCTAGTTATTGCTCAAGATAAATTAATTAGATTTCTAACGAACTGAGATACGTGTATGCACACATGCAATATTGGAATTAAGTAATTAGTTTAAGGAGTTTCTCGATAAGACTATCGAGGTACGTAATTACCAGAGTGAGCTGTTAGAATGCAAATCCAAGCGAATATATAAGTTACAAAAATGGAATTATTAGATCCTGAATGCATTGAGTTTGGTAGATCAGATGAAACAACTCGGGTATAGAATTAATAGACCAGACTCTAAAGTAGTAGAACTACCTGAACACGTTTTCAGAGCACAAAGTTAGAGCCTGGATTGTTAGCCCGTTGAATTATAAAATCAATAGTCGAGACCGTTACATTCTGGTAATGTTGGTCCCCATTATTAATATTAAAAACGAGCAAAACTAGGCTATAAATTCAGTTATCGGACCCCTGGGATTCAGACTTCTCCCTATTAAACTATTGAAACTAATTATAAGAACCACAACTGATAGACTAGACTACACGGCTGGAACAATAACAGAGATCTGTATCAGAAAAATTAGACATTCCAGACTAGCCCAATAGCTATTAAGCCACAGAAGTACTAGAATCCACATTTTTCAATTAGTATGTTACCCTATTATGTCCGACGGCTCTTACGTTACAGCTGAAACAGGTCGGGAGGATTAAGGAAGATAAAGCGCGGTGAAACAAAAGAGATTAAGTTATATGAAACGAAAAACTCTGCGACACAGAGATCGTACAGTCGATTGGATACGAAGCTACCAGCCGCCATTGCGCTACGGCAGCGCCACGCGGCTCCACGCGACAGGCCGTGTAAGCTCCGCGCGGCTGCGCGCGCAGTAGACATTGGCTTACTGTGCTACCACGAGAAGAAGGCACAGTGCGTTTACATCCTCACTCCTGACACTTTTGTAATCACAGGGAGTGACTGTTATTGGACAAAGACGGTGACGAAGATCAACGACGAGCTGTAACGAGTCCGAGTGAGACAAAATAACGCAGCATAGGCGTAGCCTTTCAATCGTAGTCTTTGTTTCCTCTTAGCGAGGATGTGAACACACTGTACCTTCCTCTCGTGAAAACACAGTAACTCTTCAACGTTGTCAGCCGCGAGGACATGTCTGTCATTTGTTATCGTCGCCAAAATTCGAGATCTTCCACTCGAATGGAGGGCAATTCGACTAACTAGGCAACATATCCGAGAGAATACGAACCCCAGGTTCAATAAAGAAGAGAAACGATCCTGTTTCGCTTACACAAGGTAAATAGAAAGCCCCGATGGTCCCGCAGCTCGTCGTAATCGGCCCTTAGTAACCGAATATTCGTGCCGAAAGGGGCAAACGCGTTGGTAGAGTCCATTCGATCGGGAATCATCGTTTTATGAGAGCAATGGAGATTTATAGGGGTAGCCAGGGGAGCTTTGAGCGCGATATGGCACAGGCTCGGATACATTGTGCGATGGACGTTACCCTGTGGGGTGGTTTAACCGGCGGCAGCCATCAGGGGGAGTTCTCTGGGACGATACAGGGCCATTGTCTTGCGGGTCCCTCGAAATTTTATTGCTCTGCCGCAATGTGTTGCTTCGCGCTTATATTCGACACGTCGTTCAATCGGTTAACTGTGCATCGTTCAGCATGGGAAAACGATCCGTCCAGTCATAATTGTAGATTATGCTCGCTAGGAAATGGGATCTGTAGGGGAAGGTAGAGTAATTACTACTCTGACTTTATCTTTCCGTTTCTACCCCGAGTGGAAATGAGAGGATCGAGGGTATAATTTTGTCAGTAAAATTGGACTATTTCTTTATTGGGGGGACTTTATTAGAGAGACGAACTTCAGTCGCCATTTCATAAAATTTCGAAGATCGATATTAGTCATTTGCACTCGACGATTTTTTCGTTACAAGAAAATAGTAATTCGAAGACTTTCTGCCATAAAGTCGACGATATTTTCGAAACGGTAAATAAAAAGTGCAAATTAATTGTAAGACGTAGAATTATTTTAATTTTATTAATTATATTCCACGCGTCGTTGGGCAATTTGAAATTCGTCATATTAGTTAACAACGATCTTCAGAACCTGATTAAATGGCGACTGAGAGTAGCCTCTCGAGTGCAAAGGGTTAATTTCCTGTTTCCTTCTTTTCCTCCTTTTCTCACGTTTTCGAGTCACTGGAACCGGGAACCGGAGCGAGCAGGAAGGTTCGATTCAGTTCGATTTTATTTATAGATCGGTTTATGGATTCGAGTGGGTCGTGGCTGATTGAATATGAACGGTTATGGTCTTTGCGGTTAGCATGCGCATATCGCGTGGTAGTAGTTTAATGCCTTTTTATCGGCCGCGAGATTCGTGGCGCGTGGAAGAGTGGGCTTGGGTGTCTCTGCGGTTTCAGCAAATTTGTTAATTCTGTCGCCGATAAATTCAATTCTCCGCCGTTTCCTCACCGCGATATGCTAATTTTATGAAAGGTCGTAACGACTGGACACGTTGGTATCGTTTCTGGGTCCAATGCGGATCTAGTTTCGACGTTTCTCCATTCCTGATACATCTTTCTCCTCTAATCGATGTTCAAATCTGAGCCAGGCTCAACTTTCGGATTTTCTTTTAAGAATCACAAAGACGTTATTGTGATAAGAATTGTGACACGGTTTTCATCTATATTTAAGGAGTATTCGTGATTTTTTTCGTGAAAAAATATTGAGAATTGTCGAAAATATAGCTAGGTTAGTAGTGTCCCGTCGACTTCACTGATCGGTGACTAACAGTATAAAATATGATATAAAACTAAAAAATTATTTTCTATTAACCAATTTTAAGCAGTTCCTGGATTGTGTCACGAATATACGTAAATATTCCCTACCAAAAAGTTGTAACGGGTTTTATTAAAGTACCGTAAACATGGGGACAGTTGTTCCTCGCAGGTATCACAAAATGGGGCAACTTTATGGGTCAATTTTCACTCTTTGTATTATAGTATAATAAAAGCTACAAAGCCTTATTAGCTTGCATTTCTAAAAGGACATAAAGGTCGTCTGATTAATTGTCCCTGCAGAAAAATGGGACGAAAATTCGGCGAAATATGACCTAGGGGGCCAAGCGAAACGCAAGTCAGAACAGGCATGGCACTTAGTGTCCTAACCCTTTGCACTCGACGATACTTTGGCTAAAGAAGGGTACGAGTTGAAAAATTTTCTGTTATAAAGCTGATGATATTTCTTGAGTAGTAAATAAGAAATCATATAATAATTAACGCGCAGAATTATTTAACACTAGCACTACCGATCTTTAGTGGGTACCTAACTATAACGTGCACAGATTATAGTAATTACAAGCGGTATGATGAATATGAGTGAATATATTGATTACAGTTCTTTCGTAATATGAGTTTATACCAATTTTATTCTTAAAGCAGGTGTATGTGTTCGGTGATTGCAAAAAGGAAAATTCTGGGACCAGTCATTTGGACCGGGTTGGTAGTTCTAGTGTTAATTTTGATACCTCGTACACTGTGCGTTACTTTAAATTTGATATATTAATTAATATCGAGCTTCGAAATTTTATCAAATGGCGACTGAAATGTCTCTCGAGTGCAAAGGGTTAAATAAAGAATTGTTCTTATTGTTATTGATATTTCATCCACCACTAACATATGCGTGTGTGTGTGTGTGAGAGAGAGGGGTGAAGAGGGAAATGTAAATAAATAATGCCGGTAATATGCAATCGATCGGTGTTTCAGGTATCGAGCAGCCAATATGTCGGTGCTTCTGGAGGCTAGGTCTTACAGGCCTTTCAAGTCCTCGGAGGAGTATCTGATCGCGATGAAAGAGGACCTGGCCGAGTGGTTGAACGCGCTGTATCCGGAGCTGCGAATCAACGTTGACAATTTTATGGACAGGCTGGACACCGGCGTCGCTCTGTGCAAAGTAAGTGGCCGTAGAACGATTTATACATTCCCAGAAGTATAAACTAGCCTCGACTTGCGGGTATTATATATAGGGTGGGATCTAAATAGGGGCAGGGAGGATGGAACGCATCTGGCTAAGAAGGGGAGGGGTGTCGGACTTAATGGTACCGTTTAACCCCTTCACCACTACGGGTTGTGGGTATATAGGAGGGTATATACCGGGTGGGTTAAAAGTCGGATCGTTAATTTAATTTAATTTAATATATCTTTTTTTTTTTTTTTTTCTTTTTTTGGGGGGTTCTATTTGTAATTTAGGAATAGTGATGAATGAATAGAATTTAGGATTTGGAGATGCAAAAATTGAGTCGTTAATTTAATTTAATTTAATTTTTTTCTTTCTCTTTTTTTTTCTTTTGAGGGCCCGATTTGCAATTTAGGGATAGTGATAAACGAGTAGAATTTCGAATTTCGAGGAGATTTAAAATTCTAGGGGGTTCCTAATTTTCAGTATCAGTATCACTAATTTTGTAGTGCTCTGCGCCCTACCCCCTGTCCCCTTAATTTGATTCCTTTCTTTTTTCTTTTTTTTCCTTTTGGAGGTCTGATTTGTAATTTAAGAGTGGTGATAATTCAGTAGAATTTCGAGGAGATTTTGCTACGTGGATTCCTTTTTTGGCATGTAGACAAGTCACTAGAATAGTCGAGTGCCAGGAATCCACGTGCCTGGATTTTTACGTTTGCGGTGTCTTTAGGGATGCTGCATTCGTTCGAAATCCAAGAAACGTGAGGGAATTAAAACGAGCTTAAGATGGTAATGGAAGATATGTGAGGGCGTTACCGATCACGTAGCGTTAGGTAGATCCAGGGGGAGAGACTGTCAGGTTTCTAGAGGCGTAGTTTCTATATGCAATCGTTTAGAGCGTATTTGGAAATTTTATTGTAATTACATTATTTATCATTTAATATATTCTATATGATGTATATTATACACATATACTCATATAATATAGTACGAGAGAAAATGACAACATAACCTATAATTTTCATTATTTTTTGGAACTCCTATAGTATACACAAATGTATTGAAAATATTCCAAATGTTAATATATTTGTTAGTACAATTATTTGTTAGTGGTGGATGAAATTTAATAACAACAAGAATAATTATTTATTTAATTACAAAAATTAACAAACACAAATATTAGGTTGAAATATAATTAATTTATCACAATCACATGCTCACACGTCTTCTCACTATTAAAACTCAATTGCAACTGACGTATGCTAAATCACTCTCTTTTCTTTCGTTCTTCTTTCATATATTACATTAACATACACAATTCACACAACACTTCAGTCATTGCAGGCATACTCATTTATAATAATAACCCGAATTCGTTAGATATTTCCATCCCATGCATACTTGTTCCACTCATCCCAACACATATATATTTAAAAATCTATGTAACCATTACCACATTGTTAGTATAATTGTTAATGCAATTTTAAGTAATTTTATCCCAATATGTTTATCAATTGTATCCTAATAATATTCTTTCTTTAATTAAGAGAAATTACCTTTCTTTATAAAATCAAATTCCATTTATAATCTTGTGACTTTCCTATTTTTGTCGAGATACCTATATTTTCATAGTCATTGAGGAAACACTGAAATTCTTATGGTATACTATCATTTTGTCTCGTGCTATATGTTATGCTAGAATTTTCTTCTCTTTTTTTTCGAGGCTTGACTTTTCATTCACCCGGTATGCACGTATGCCATTTAAAATTAGCGAATCGAATGCAGCTGGTTATTCGGTTTCAAAGAGAGTTTGTAGTATTGTAGAGAGTTTTTAGCATTTGCCGGGAGAGGAGGTCTTGTTAGGAGGAAATTCAATTCTACTCGGTCGTAATTCAATTTTATTACGGTGGTGTTTCCGGTCATTAAGCGGTTGGTAGATTGTAATGTATTTGGGATTGTGAGCTAGAGAGTGGGATAAGGAAATTGTTCGTAGATCGAGCCTCCTCTGTCCGGCTGGCAGCTGCTGGATGTTCGGGAAATTTTTAATCAGCTAGAAATCTACACAGATACCTGATCGAGTAGGACAAAAATTATAGTAATTTCAGTCATCCAGATTAAACTATCTACTATTTTCTTATGAAAGAAAATTCGATAGCACGCTGCTCCATATTCCAATGGACAACCGTTATAGATATTCTCTATATGGAAATTCTGATTCTTTTTCGCGAACAGATTTCACTAACTTTCCCGTAATTTTATTACTCCGCATGTCAATAACGGGCATTAAAAATTGTAAAACCGAAAGAAACTACTTAAAATTGAAAAAAGGAACGGAAGTTAAATATAAAAATATAGTGTACATAAATTTAAATGGGAATAACAAAATTTCGCGTTATTTAGAAAAATTATTAAATCATCTATCAATTAACAATGAGCTTAGTATGATTTAACGGGTGGTTCCCAGATAAAAGAATTACAAAATTTAGAGAAATTGAAATGCTCAAAAATTAGAAGAAAAAGGAAGACAAATACAAAAATGTAATGCAAATTAATTTAAATAAAAATAATAAAGTTTCGCGTTATTTCTAAAAATTATTAAATTATATATCAATTAACAATGAGCGTAGTATGATTTAACGGGTGGTTCCTAGATAAAAAAATTACAAAATAAATAAAAACTGCTCAAAAATTGGAAGAAAAAGAAAGACAAATACAAAAATATAATGTAAATTAATTTAAATGGAAATAATAAAATTTCGCGTTATTTTTAAAAATTGTTAAATAATTTATCAATTAACAATGAGCTTAGTATGATTTAACGGGTGGTTCCCAGATAAAAAAATTACAAAATCAATAAAAACTGCTCAAAAATTGGAAGAAAAAGAAAGACAAATACAAAAATATAATGTAATTTAATTTAAATAAAAATAATAAAGTTTCGCGTTATTTTTAAAAATTATTAAATTATATATCAATTAACAATGAGCTTCGTATGACTTAATGGGTGGTTCCCAGATAAAAAAATGACAAAATCAATAAAAACTGCTAAAAAGTTGGAAGAAAAAGGAAGACAAATACAAAAATATAATGTAAATTAATTTAAATGGAAATAATAAAATTTCGCGTTATTTTTAAAAATTGTTAAATAATTTATCACTTAACAGTGATTTTGGTATGGTTTAACCGGTGGTTCCCAGAAGCTTCTTGAAAATTCCGCGCGTGAGTAACGTTAAAACGACGCGTGCAACAAATGTAGACATGCACACGTACGGTTAACTCGCACAGTGAAATATTAAATGGAAACGCATAGAAGCTATGGGGCACGTTCTTTGGTCGCGGATCGTGAAACAGAGGAAGAAGGATGCGTGTGACGTCCACCGGAAGCTGTTGCTTCAACGCCACTTGAATCACGAATTAAGTCGGCGCGTGTAGGAAACGCCGTGACACGATGAGGAGCGAACGAAACGAGCTTCTTCGTGTGCCCCTATTTTCCTCTTTTTCTCCTTTCGCACCCGTTACAACGGGAAATCGCGAAACTTCGTGTTCCTCGAATTGGCCATTGCAGAATTTTCTCATTAGCCGACATACGTATACCAGACTTTATTTTAAAATACAAAGGAGTAAAATGTTGATAATACCATTTTACATTCACACGGTTATATTTGTTCAAAATATCAGCCATTTTATAATTATTTTTATTACACTGATTATAATCATTTTTGTTATAGCAATTCGCAAATGCAGGGTATTATCAGAATTTTACTGTTTTCAAAATTCCCTATATGAAGTTCCATAAATATTATTTTATTTTATAAATATTGGGATTTATTTGTACACTCGCGATATTAAATTCTGCAGAATTCTTTGTGTAATAATAATCCCAATTTTCTATATCCGACTATATCCCTTCAAAAATAATTCCAAAATACATATACTCATTTCTAAAATAAAAAAGAAAATAGAAAAACGGACAAGCTATAATAACTCGACAAAAGGACGGTAACCCTGTGATTGGGACTTAAAGAAATACAACTCTAAATAAAAGAAAGCAAATCTACCTGAATCTTCCTTCATTCCCAACTTCATCCTTTTCAAAATACTCCCAAAACACTTGCAAAATAAGCAACAAAAAATAAATAAAATAAAAAGGTACACAAACAAGCATTAACAACTCGTCGTGCAGACGGTAGGCTTGCGATAGTGATTAAAAAAGAGCAATTGAAAATAAAAAACCAAATCTCTTCCAAAATTCTGTCAAGCACTCGCAAAATAAAAACTAAAAAAAGTAAAAAAGAAAGGAAAGAAGCATTAACAACTAGACAGGCAGACGGTAGCCTTGTAATTGTCATTTTTCCGCGGGCCAGTCCGGTTAAATGAATTCTCCGCGCGTGAAATAATCGGGGCCCACATCGTGCTCTCGAAACGGGTTCCCAGCGTGCGTCGCAGTGGCGCGATAAAGCGTGGCAAGAGCGGAGAATGTCGTCGGTGGCGCTCGCAGCGGAGGCGATCATTAGCCGGATCGGAACGGGCGCGAAACGCGAGAAAAATGGCGGCCGTCGAACTGGAATGGCGATTATTATTAACCGCGCCGGCGTCGATATACATACGGCCTGCGCAGCCGTGGCTTAGGGTTACGCGTGTAAAACCATCCACTCCCGTTTCTGCGCGGAAGGGAGGTGCTCTAAGAATCCGCGATAAATTTCGCGGAATTTACAATCGAGATAAAAGGCGAATTTGCATCGGGCGAAAATAACTAGTCGCTGTGGCAGCGATGGCGGCGTAAGTTCCCCCGGTTTATAGTCAACCTGGGCTAGCTTAACGACGCGCGCCTGTGCACAGGCCTCCAAAATGTTCGCAGCCATCGATACCGGTTCTATCTTTCGACCAGATCGTGTCCTGCATGTTGCTTTTCGATGTTTTCTAGTCCGGGAGCTGTTACTCCAGGGTGTGTTTAAGATGAATGGGTCGATAGCTTTCGAATTACTGATTGAATGCCC